CATTATATCCAAATTGTCCAGCATTGTTGGCTTGATATATCGTAATAAACACATATTTTCCCTTAAGGTAAAGTTGTTAATATATAATTCATTATTTTATTTCCATATAAACTATGGTCATCTAGTATGGGGCACAACTACTTTTACTAACTGTAAAAAAATATTCATTTTGCAAAAAAAGATTTTAAGAAGTATTTGCAAAGTCCCACTCGAATGTCCAATGGATTCACTTTTTACTCAACTGGGTGTAATTAAAATTTTTGATTTGTATAGATATCGCCTTTGCGCAAAATATATGATTGAAAAAAACATGCATGTACATCATCTTGAATATTTAGCGAATCTAACACAAAAAGTACACTCGTACCAAACGCGCATTCTGCAGCCCTGGCAAGTGCCTCTTTTTAGAACAAATTATGGCCATCATACTATAGCATACACACTACCGTCCATCCTTAACCACCTTCATATGCACAACATAGAACTTGACACGTTATCGGTGGGTACCTTGCGGGACATGATACTCTCTGGGCAAATCGGCCACGATTGAACGGTGCCTTTGTGTGTATTTTCTGAGTATTTTTTTTTGTAAAGGGGAATGTGCTTGTGTTTTGTGTATTGTACAATTAATTAACGTAGACTATTTTTCTGGTTTTTCCTTGAACGATGTGGGGCAGTGCTATTTTTTGTCTACTCTTAAATATTGTATTTTTTGTTATAGTGCCTTGAACGATGAGCAAGTGACGTTATTCTATAGTGCCTGCTTATTTTCTTTAGTTTCATATATCTCATTGCCAACTGTTCAATCTCTTTTTTGTTTAGCGTTCTCAGTGTATTTCTTTTTTTTCCGTCCACGCTGCTTGTAGCTGCTGCTTTAGGGGGGCTTAGGACTAGTCAAGCTGTACACACAGCTTTTTTCCAAAGCCCCCACCAACACTGTACCTTTCTTGTTGGAAAATAAACCTATTATTAAAAACAGGCATACTTGAGTAATCCGCCATCTTTCCAATTCCAGTGACTCACGTATGGTGTGTGATAGATTTCCATTCCCGCTATTCGCATTATGAAGAATGTAGATCTATCACACATCATACCATTTTTGATATTTGCTTTTGCCCTGGAGCTGAAAGGAGACGTGTTTAATAAGAAAGGTTTTCTACGCATTACTCTATTTATATTTTTATTCAATGCATTTAATCGTGCGTATGCTGGATTGATCAAAGAAAAATGTTGTTTTAAGAGCGCGTGATGGAATTATTATATTTTGTTACTTTCATTTTATATTTGGATAGTGTTTTTTAATGTGAAGTTTTGGATTGCCTTAAAATTACTTGATGCACACATATGTTATGCAAGCCTCTCTATATATTGTTTGCAAGTATTTTGCTGAGGTACGACGCAATAGGAATTTAATTATACGTAGTTCGAGTGATTTCTTCGAACAGACATTAGAGGACGGTGCTTAAATATACGTCTGCTGCTCAGTGTTACAGCTAAAGGGATGTCATTCATATTGATCACACTGGTAGCCCTAAACACAGGTTTAGACTTTAGAAAGTGCTACCTGTAGAGGCCTATATAATTTTCGCATTTATGCGGGCCCCTCGGTTAATCTTCTTCCGCTCTAACTCTACAGTTTTATGTTTTATCTACCACGTGTCATAACATTTTTCTGACACGGAACTCTAAAGGCCCGTTCACCCACTTGTTACTTTTTAGGACAGTGTGACTTAAAACCTCTTAAAACCTCTTACGACGAGAGAACACACGGACGCCACCTATCGGGGAGCCATGGAACCAAACTTGAAACCTTTACTTGAAAAATATAATGGATTACAATTACAAATTACGAGCCTCAAATGCAATAGATTACCGTCACAAATTACTTTCGTTGCAGCATAACGGATTACTTTAGTCGTTACGTTACAAATAACTTTCACGTTACTTTTTCGGTACACATATCAATGGAAACCATTTTTTGTTTCTATTGGTAAGTGATAAGCTAGGAAGAAGGATGAAAAATGTGGTTGCAGCGAGAGCTGCAACCAGATCCGCCATTCCGCTAGCTTACTGCTACCGAAAATGATCCATGAAATTCTGCAGACAAAGCTAGCGGTGCGAATGTTCAGTAGCAGCGTCTACCTCCGCTAGGAAATTTTAAGGTAAGGAACCGATCTACGAAAGCTCCCTTTTGAAACGGGCCTTTCAAGCGTGAGCGCAACATCTCAAATCTGAGGTCTCGTGTCTTTAGCTTTGACGCGTTGTCAGCTTATGCATGAGCGGAGTATAGTTGCATGCAGTACTGGAAAATGCATGTGCGCTCGTATTTGATCTTGGGTCGAGTGGGTGGTCGCACACTCGTATTGCTCCAGTTTGTGTATTATGAACATATTTTTTTTAAAGCAACGAGTAATTAAAGTAATCCGTTACCAATATTTTGTAACGAAATTAAATTACAAATTACTTTTGAAAAAAGTAACGTGGCAATTAAAAAATTATTTGAAAAAGTAACGGATTACTTCCAATATCTGCGTCGAACACCATGGTGGTTCCGTATATATTTCCTATTTTTCGCGCATCATGATTTCTTTCTTGGTTTGAAAAGCTTTTGTCAATGCTATAAACGACGATGTTTCATAGGTAGTAAGTACATTTGAACTCGGAAATACCACAAAACCTTCGTTCTAGTGAAATACAGTTCCAAGATTACCGCGTAGATGGCGCCAGCATGCCAGTGTGTTCTCTCGACCTAAGGTTTTGAGGCACTCGGTTCTAAAATGTTACAACTGTGTGAACGGGCCTTTACTGAACAGCTTCATATTTTGGTTGGTCAATGCAGTCTACTTTTCTAAAGCTGCAAACGCTACCTTTTACTGAAAAACCAAAGTGGCCTTTTATAGGAAAGAAACTAATTATTTTCGATAGGTGTTGCATATGGGAAAGCGAACTTGAACACGTGGTACAACGAAGGGTGCTTTGGTCACCTGAGTTCCTACCAGGCCAGACTTTTTCCTAAGTGATGCTTTTGGCGCTTTGTCGTGACAGAGACGCAGTGATAAGATCGTCATGTGTTCGGTGGACGTTGTAGTTGGTGGAAGTTGATGGTTTGTCAACAGTGTTTTATCCGATCGAAAAACCAAAACAATAAACAACCGAAATTAAAATCTGGGAACATGCGTAGTGGCGACATCAGGCCTCCTGTTGCCTGGAATATTATATTGACTGGTGCTTCATTCTACAACAATGCTGGGTCGGTTCTAAATACTATTCTCCTCGGCTTTAAAAGTGTATTTAAGGAGCTGTGGATACTTATGTCTGCTTTTAATTGATTGTACGCTTTTGGTTAAAAAATGAGTATGTTTTGTTTCTGGGACTGCCTTTAGTGTTTTAGTATAAATAACTTTTTTTTTAAATAGATAGAAAAAATATGTGTTAAAGGCCAAGTGTAAAAGCTTCCATGAACAACTGCTTGCTGCATTATGTACTGCGTTGACAATCAAACATTAAAGCAAACTTGCGTCTCAGCTGCTAAATCGTGCAGCTTATGTAAGGTTCTGCATACAAAAGCCATACATTCTCATTCTTTCTGACTGTCATCGAACTTCAAAATGTGCTCTTTATTCCTTTGTTTTCTTCGCAACGGCGCTGCTCAAATTTCATAAAAAAAAAAAAAAAAGAAACATTAAGTCGTCCGCGGAAGAAAAAGGAGCCACAGCAACCTCAAGCGAAATCTCTATATCCAGGATAAGAACAGTGAAATCCAAACACTGGATCCGTCTATCGCGTTTACTCGAGGAAATAAAATTATCGTATGTTTTTTTTTTATTTCACTACAGAGAGACGTAAGCTATACGGATGATGTCTTTCGAAGAATAAACGACGGGAAAAGGGAGCTCTTGTTCGCTCCGACTGTGCCCAGGTTACAAAACCAACCAAACACAAACGACGTGCGTCGTTCTCGCCATGGTGGCTTAGAGGATGCATTAACCACGCTCGAGTGACTTGACACAGACGCACGTTTCGCGAAACAAAAAGATAGGGACGGAAAGCAAAGAAAGCACAGCGAGAGAGAGAGAGAGAGAGAGAGAGAGAGAGAGAGAGAGAGAGAGAGAGGTTGCGCACCCACACAAGAAAGGCGTCTCTCGTGTCTTGGTGTGTGATTTTCAAGGGGACGTTTCCTCCCAGGAGTTGCTCTGCTGGACTCGCTCCGTCGAATTCGATGAGACGTGCGGATCCCAAGAAGCAGGCTACGATCCACGTCGGCGCCGAGAAGCGAGGAGAAGATAAAAGAATCCTTCTGCCGTGCATCCTCGGAAGCTATTCCGAATGCTGTCGGGACATTTCAGCCCTGTTTTTCGTGTGTGCTCGAATGGCTATCGGTAAATCCTTCTCTATTTCAGACGCAGACGGGTTGCTATTGAAAGTCGCTGTTGTTGTAGGTATGAGGGTTGAATTGTTTACAACTATATTTTTCTTTATTGTTTATGTTTAGTAAAAAAGTGTATTGCCTGCTCTGTGGGATATTGCAGACACCCGTATATGTGTGTTTTTCATATTAAATTTGGGTTGTCCGTTTTGCGGCAAACGCGCATTTGTATTGTACCTTCATGCACGAAGTTCTACTAGCATTCTACGTACTAATCTTGCGCAGAATTCGATTTCGTTTTGCCGCTGTTCATCTCTCGATTTGTCAAGCTTTCTTTAATATTCGAAGACACATGGCAATAAACATCATTATTGTTGGTGCACACAAATTCAGGGAGGTTTATTTGCCTTATATTAACTTTATATCATCTTAAGAGTCCTTTAATAACTTTGATTTTGGTGGAAGTCCAACTTGTCGGTTGAAAACGCTCTACGAATGAACTCCGAGAAAGTCCTCGTCGTGAGATTCATTGCGCTGTTATCGAAGATCCAACATGTAGCCACATCAGTCCTAAGAAACATGCAGTCTGTGAGGAACAAGCACAGCCAGAAAAATTCTTAGAAGACACTGCTGGTCAACGGAACTTTGCGACGAGACTTGTTTCGTAGGCCGGGACCATGACGTAGACTGGTTGACGGTTGCTAGCGTAGCCACCTTCGTGTCCGCCTCCTCCGTGGCCGCCCCCGTGTCCTCCACCGTGCTGCTTGTGGCCCCCGTAGTGATCATGAGAGCCCCTATGGTATCCTCCTCCTCCGTACTTGTGCCCACCTCCTCCCCGATAATGGTTGTGCCCATGCCCTCCGTGCTGTGCATGGTGGTTCTTGTACTGACCGTAGCCGTGCCGGTGGTAATCGTCACCCTGTTTATGCTGGCCGTGATGTTGTTTGTGATGGTGACCGTGGTGTTGCCTCCCGTTATGGTGGTCGTGGTAGTCATGGTGTTGGTTGTACTTCTTTTTGTGGTCCCCGTCGTGGTAGTCGTCGTAGTACCTGCTGTGATGCGCTGAGTCTTCTTTATGGTACACGTTCTTGTGACCGTAGTTCTTGTGACCTCGGCTCTTGTAGTGGTCGTTGCCGTATTTTCCACCATGGTGACCGTGGCCGCCGTAGTGATCGTTGCCATAATGCTTGCCTCCGTAGGCACCGTGGCCATATTTTCCGTGATGATCATTATTGTAGCGGTTGTAACCGTGCCCGTGGTTCTGGTGCCCGTGCCGACCATGCCGTCCATGGTAGTTGTCGTAGTCGTTTCCGTGGTGTCTGTAGTCACCACCGTAGCGACCATGAGAGTGGTGGCCCCCGTAGTTCTTGTGGCCTCCGTAGCCACCGTGGTGTCCTCCATATCCTGTTGCAGCAGGTTTCAGATCTGGATTGTTCACCGAGGTCGGCTGCCCGAGCTCCACTTGCCGAGTGGCATTGACGTTGCCCTCCGCCGGGGAGACGAGGCAGAATAGGAAGAGAGAAAGGCACAGACCCGAATGGACCTAGGAGTGCCAGAAGAAGAGCCCGATTACTTCCTGCCTGCTGGATAGAAACATGGGCGGAATGATATATGATTAAGTGGCATAGCATATTTCATGTGATCTTCGCAACGTCAGTTCTTGCAACAAGCAGTTGTTCAAACAAAACACGCAGGCACGTTTATTACTTCTACTACTCTATACAACATGCGAGTTCTTATGGACAAACCCTTACCTTTTAAGCTGGTTCATGCTGAAATAAATGACATAAAACAAATATTGTTATGCAATAAATGGGCATTTTATAGGACACCAGTTCCTTTTACTTCCTCTATTCATGAGTATAAAATGTCCAGCACTCGTGTAGTATCCATCCACTCTCTTCACATTGTGTTATATTTTGTCCGAAACGTTAGAGATACAAGTAGAACAATTAATCTTAGATCATGTGCACATACGGCAAATGAAATAAGGCTACCATGTCCACCAGAACACAGCAGGTTGTTGTTTCTCTAAATTTGACTGAATTTGTGCTCTATCGTTCATGAAAACCGTGACTTGATCACTAGCGCCAGCGTAGTGACCATGTCCGTGGCTTCGGTGGCCACTATTCCCATGACGTGCTTGGCCCCCAGTATGGTAGTCTCCACCACCTTGCTTGTATCCATGTCCGCCTCTGTGGTAACGATTTCCATGGCCTTCGTGGAAGCCGTGATGCCTGCTGTAGTAGCCGTGACCGTGTCGATTATGGTCATCCCCATGTCTCTGCTTTCCATAGTACTGGTTGTGGTGATTTCCATAGTTTTCTCGACCACCGTGGTGATCGCGATAGTTATGGTGATCGTTGTAATACTTTTGGCGGTCCCCTTCGTGATAGTCGTCATAGTAAGTCTTGTGGTCTCCGTACTCTTCCTTGTGGTAGACGTTCTTGTAGCCGTGACTGCGGTGTCCCCTGTTCTTGTAATGATCTCCACCGTAGTGGCCCCCGTGTCTTCCATAGCCTCCATAGTTGTCGGAACTGTGGTGGCGGCCACCGTAGCCTCCGTAATTGTGGCGGCCGTGATGATTGTTGTTGTAGTTTCTGTAGTTGTGACCTCCTCGGCGATAGCCCCGCTTTCCGTAGCCGCCGTGGTGGTGCCGGTAGTCGCTACCGTGGTGTCTGTGACCCCCTCCATAATTCCCGTGGCCATGATGCCCTCCGTGATGTCGATGTCTTCTGTAGACTTGATGATTATGATGATGATGACCGCTGGCGGCCTTGGCGATGTCCTGTTGGAGTGGCAGCGCAGCTGCTTCCACAACGAGGATCTCAGTGATGTTGCCTCTTGAGGGCTCGGCAACATTCTGGCACAAGATGATGGCTGACTGCACAAGCAGACCCTGCTTGGGGGGAAAGCAACTCTGAAAATTCATTTCTCGAAAGGCGAGAAGCCAAAAATAGATAAGACCGGCCAGTACATAATAGAGCCTCATTCGTTCTAATATTGTAATCAAATGAAAAGGAATTTTTACTAATGGTATAGCTCAAAGTCCAACTCAGATTTTTAAATCGAAACATGTACACACACATGGAGACGTATAAGGATAGGGAGTTGTAGAGGTTCATAACTCATCGATAGGTTGACATGTAAGTCAGTAAATATTACCTAGATTCTGTTTAAGAAAAAGAGAGACGAGGTGTGTGCTGGCGAGTAAAAGGTTTCGGGAGCCTGCAAAAATTTCTAGCACTAATATATTGGTAGAATCAAACAATTGTCCACACACTACTGATGAGTGCGCGTAATGGTTATTGAGTAATAGTATTAATATTCTAACGAATTCGGAATATCAGAACCTGAGAGCACTTTGTTTTCATAGTAAAATTTATCAATGATCACTCACGTAACACGGCACTGGGAGGCTAAAACGTTGTCGCGTTTTGTTGCATTTATTGGCACTTTGAAGTGGCACCTTGGTTACAGTAGTTTACGCGGTTAGTTTTGGGTGCGTAGATTAAGGTAAGGTGAACATACTTTGGATACAATCCACCCTCGGATTTGCGCACCCGTAGCTGCCCTTTCCCTCAAAAATAAACAAAAAGATAAAACAAGCGCGTAAACGTCAGATAGAGTATTGAGGAAAGAATATATATATATATATAAAGAGTGATGAATGTTGACAAATGCTTCCGTTGATATATGGGCAAAAGTGATGTGCGCAGACACAGCAGCCGTATGATGAAAAGAATAAAATTCTAATTTAATGGCGAAAAAAGTCACGCAAGAAAGAAGGGTGAAGTGCCGAAAAAAAGTTGTATTAGTTTACGGGAATAATGAAGACTAGGCACAAGAACGCTAATTACGCGGGAAACAAACTTCTAAACAGGACGGAGTAAAAGTCAAAGTTAACACACAAGAACTTACAAAAATAAATTGTTAAATGAAAAATAGAATAAAGATTTGAAAATAAAAAATGGATAAAAATAAGAAAAGGGCCTGACGTCCGTCAACGTTTCGGCAGTGGCACTGCCTTCTTCAGGACGGGAGCCCATATGGCGTGGTAGGCTAGTTTTATAAAATATCTAGGGAGAGGGTTAGTTAACGCGAAAGTTCGAAGGGGTTTGTAGGGTAGGGGAAGATTGGACTTTGCCCTCTGTGTTCCCCTTCCCTACGAGCTCCCCCATACCACCAGTGCACCTCTGAACAAAACCCAGAACCGCCTCCCTCATCGCGACAAAATTGGACTCGTCCCCCCCGTGCTTCCCTTACCCTACAAACCCCTTCGAACTTTCGCGTTAACTAACCCTCTCCCTAGATATTTTATAAAACTAGCCTACCACGCCATATGGGCTCCCGTCCTGAAGAAGGCAGTGCCACTGCCGAAACGTCGGCGGACGTCAGGCCCTTTTCTTATTTTTATCCATTTTTTATTTTCAAATCTTTATTCTATTTTTCATTTAACAATTTATTTTTGTAAGTTCTTGTGTGTTAACTTTGACTTTTACTCCGTCCTCTTTAGAAGTTTGTTTCCCGCGTAATTAGCGTTCTTGTGCCTAGTCTTCAATATTCCCGTAAACTAATACAACTTTTTTTCGGCACTTCACCCTTTTTTCTTGCGTGACTTTTTTCGCCATTAAATTAGAATTTTATTCTTTTCATCATACGGCTGCTGTGTCTGCGCACATCACTTTTGCCCATATATATATATATATATATATATATAACGGGCATGGTGGCGGGGGGCCGAAGGCGTGGGTGTAGAAGAAGAAAAGAACCCTTAGTGAAAACAGCAACAACGGACGATTTAATCTTCGACATTTCGGCCAGACTCCGGCCGAAACGTCGAAGATTAAATCGTCCGTTGTTGCTGTTTTCACTAAGGCTCTTTTCTTCTTATATATATATATATATATATATATATATATATATAGCCATTATCGGAACTCAAAACTGACAAACCAATTTTAAAAACACTGAAAGGTCGTCGTTAATGCGGTTACACAAGCTAAGTCTTTCTATAAGAGGTGGGTTCTCACCAATAACTTTCATGAACATTTCAGGTGGGAGTGAGCGCGCAATGGCGCCAGCTTTCTCAAACAAAATAAAAAAGGTTGAGAAAAAAAAAAACATCTTATAAAAGGTGCCAACTGTATCCGATAAAAATATGGTATTTACTTTGAAAAATAAAAGAAATACAAATTTGTCTACTTGATTATTCTTCGGTAGCCGATCAAGTTCTAAATGATGTAGCACGACAGTACAAATAGGGTGCAAAACTAAAGTACACATTCACAAATGTCACGGAATATTTTACCGTGGGCTGTAGAGATCCTATAAGTGAAAATTTGGGCACAAGGTAAATGATTCCTCACAAAGGCATAAAAGATGGCAAATATCACATGGAGCGAAAAACCTAAGCTAAATTTCTAAAAAGAAAATTTCTCCAGACATTTAGTCAAAGGTGGTCGGGGAAAGTAATCTCAATAACTAACATACGTATGAATATGAGGCTTAGATGAAGAATACGGCACAAGCTCAAGACATTAAAAGTGTAATTTTTATACTACTGTTAGTGAAAAAGAGGAATTTTGCAGCGCTAAGCTATGCGCTTGTATATTAGATATCGCTGTAGAAAACCAGCGCTTTGTAGCATGGATTAATTAAAGACTTAGGACGTGAGTAAGCCTATGAAACTTCCAACTCTATATTTATTTTCAACCTTAGCTCAAGTGTGTGCCATGAAGCACCGTGACAAGGAAGGAGATTCACGACGAACACGTCTTGCCACCATTTTTTATGCACATTTTGTCACGCTCTAGAAATATCCTTTAATTATTTTCCGTTCCTATCGCCTCAACTCCAATCGCTGTAATCTACGGAAAGAACTTGAAGAATATCAACCCCCTCGATTAAAACGAAACTCGACCAGAGAACGAAGTTTACGTTGTGTCATGGAGGTAGACGCGAGGAGTTATAACGTTTATTTCAGTGTTACATAAGCTTGATTTTCAGTTACATATTTCTTTTTCTGGCTTCGTTAGTAGCCGAGCTCCTTCTGTCTATTGCTTTGGTCGTCGCTTTATGCCTTAGGAGAATGTGAACGCGCACGCAATTTAGGCGTGTGTATGCACAGTCGTCAGCTGTTCAATTATCGCAGCTCTTAGACTGCAATGGGGAATTGTAGAGTCCATCTCCAAGATGTGAGGTCATACAACATTGCGCAAGAAACCTCTTTTGCTGGTGTGCATTGTTGGTGCTCCTAGCTAATAAGATGACGTGTCCGCGTGCAAACAACGTGAGCATGGCAGTATACTGCACCCTCATGTAAAGACTTGCGATACTTCTTCGACGGACAGCTTTGTACTCAAGTAGGACGAAACTAAAAAGGGATCAATAATTATCCAAAAATACTGGCTTTTCAGCAATAAAAAAAAGTTGGTGCTGTAGTTTAATGACTACACAGAAACCTGGAAGTACAACCGGACGCTTAAACTCGTAACTAAAACTGAATGAGTCAAATAGCCGTTTTATAATAATAATGATAATAATAATAATAATAATAATAATAATTTTATTCGGCTTGTTCTTTCTTTAGCACGTACGAGGCGGGTCAGTCGAAGCCAGGGTCGGCTTGTGCGACTAGACCCCGTGGTGATTAGTCTGATTGTTCTCAGGCGCGAATACAAGACAGTTATACACAATTTAAAGTTGTTTCGCAGGTTTGACACACAAATAAATGAGTACTTGGGCATATATACACAATTTAAAGTTGTTTCACGGGTTTCACATACACAAATAAATGAGTACTTGGGCATATATACAACATCAAGTGCACCACAACGCATATAGACATGCATGCCTAGATCTACACGTAAATATACACTTAAATACATATATACACTTAAGCATCATACGGGCATATAGGCTGATGGTCGAAAAGTCACTCACATGGCAACAATAACTAGCTTCCTGTCGGTCCTAGAGAGATTCCAGTCGAGTATAATTCAATAGGCTGCTACTAGCACAATTGTTTTATGCGTTTTTTTAGGACACGCTGAGAGTCAATTTGATCAAGAAAATCTGGTAATTTGTTAAATATGCGAGGAACATAATACGACCGAACACATTTTTTATATTTAGTGTATACACGAGGAATTATCAAGTGTTCACTGTTTTTTATAGAGCGCTGGGCAGTTCGAGGTATTTTAAGTTGACTGAGCCAATAATGTCTTAGGATGACACATCTATGAAAAAGGGGTAGAAAACGCGGCAAGCCCACATAAGAGAATATATCATCGTCCTGCTTTAGATTCGGATTATATGCAACGTTTTTCGCGATGTTCCTCAGAATGGCGTCAATTTTCGTTCTCCAGAGGGTTGAGCAGTTGGCAAAGATAGTAATTCCATAGCGAAGAACTCCGTAGGCAAGAGCATTCACGACTGTCTTTCTGACGGAGATGGGGAGGAACGTTTTTGTATGGTATAACAGACAAGATACACCTCGTAGTCTTTTAGCCAGATAATCAAGGTGTGTGTTCCAGGAGAGATCGCTATCGAAAAAAAGTCCCAAGTATTTGACTGCATTGTGGTATGGAGTGGGTGTACAGGTGCAAGATACACAAGATGAGGAATGTAATATAAAAGGGATGTTGATGCACTGTCGTTTAAGTGGATTGCGGAAACAAATAAGCTTTGTTTTTGTACATTCACTCTGATTTGATTGGCTTCAAACCAGTCCATGACTTTCGTAGAATTTATTTGTAGTGTGTTTATTGCACTGCGCAGGCTGACATGAGTGGATAACAGCAATGTGTCATCTGCGTATTGAAAAACTGAGCATCTTGATGTTAATCTAGCGAGATCGTTGACGTAGATATTAAACAACAGGGGGGACAAAACTGACCCTTGCGGTACACCTGACTTGAGAAATACCTT